TGCATGCCTGTAATCCCAGCTACTCAGGAGGCTGAGGCAGGAGAATTGCCTGAACCCAGGAGGCAGAGGTTGCGGTGAGCCGAGATCGTGCCATTGCACTCCAGCCTGGGTAACAAGAGCAAAACTCCGTCTCAAAAAAAAAAAAGAAAAGAAAAGAAATGGGGCAGTGGGCTCATGCCCATGGAATTCACTGGTGTTACCATTATTCTGAAGCTATTAGATGTAGAACGGTGACATGACCTTTTGAAGTCACAATTACAATGCCACCTAGGTGACAATACATTGCAAGCCTGGTGCAAAGTTCTCCAGAAGGCTGTGTATACTCTAAATCAATGTCCAATATGTGGTGCTGTTTCTCCCATAGCCAGGATTCATGGGTCTAGGAAGCAAGGGGTGGAAGTGGAAGTGGCACCACTCACCATCACCCCTAGAGGTCCTCTAGCAAAATTTTTGCTTCCTGTTCCCACGACGTTACATTCTGCTGACCTAGAGGTCTTATTTCCAGAAGGAGGAACACTGGCACCAGGAGACACAATCCCATTAAACGAAGTTAGGATTGCCACCTGGACCCTCGGGGCTAGTTCTACCTTTAAGTCAACAGGCTAAGAAGGGAGTTATAGTGCTGGCTGGGGTGACTGACCCAGACTATCAAGATGAAATTAGTCCACTACTCCAAAAAGGAGGTAAGGAAGAATATGCATGGAATACAGGACATTCATTAGGGTGTCTCCTAGTATTACCATTCCTGTAATTAAGGTCAGTGAGAAACTACAACAGCCCAATCCAGGCAGGACTACAAATGTTCCAGACCCCTCAGGAATGAAGGTTTGGGTCACTCCACCAGAAAAAAACCAGGACCTGCTGAGGTGCTTGCTGAAGGCAAAGGGAACACAGAATGGGTGGTAGAAGAAGGTCATCATCAACACCAGCTACGACCACATGACCAGCTACAGAAACGGGGACTGTAATTGTCATGAGTATTTTCTCCTTTTTTTTTTTTTTTGCTAAAAAATGTTTGTGCATGTATACACTTGTACTAAGAAAATATCTTTATTTCTGTTTCCTTTATCATATGACATAAGATTTATTGACTTCATATCAGCATTTAAGTATTGTTAACTTTATGTAATAGTATTTGGATTGGGGATTGGTGCATTTCCAGTTGTACAAAGAATAGTTGTATTATGTTAGGTGTAATTATGACCTTATTATCTTTTGTTTTCTTTTTTCAGACAGTCTCACTCTGTTGCCCAGGCTGGAGTGCAGTGGTGCGATCTTGGCTCACTGCTACCTCCACCTCCCAGATTCAAGCAATTCTCCTGTTATAGCCTCCCAAGTAGCAGGGACTATAGACATGTGCCACCACACCCTGCTAATTTTTTATTTTTAGTAGAGATGGGGTTTCACCACGTTGGCCAGGCTGGTCTCGAACTCCTGACCTCAGGTGTTCCACTCACCTCAGCCTCCCAAAGTGCTGGTATAACAGGCTTGAGCCACCGTGCCTGTTGACATTATTATCTTTATTCAAAGATTCTGTATGATCTCAGGAGATGTGTATGGGTTCAAGTTGACGAGGGGTGGATTTGTGATGGTTAATACTGAATGTCAACTGGATTGGATTGAAGGATACAAAGTATTGGTCCTGGGTGTGTCTGTGAGGGTGTTGCCAAAGGAGATTAACATTGGCATCAGTGGGCTTGGAAAGGCAGACCCACCCTTAACTGGGTGGGCACCATCTAATCAGCGGAGAACGAATATAATGCAGGCATAAAAATGTGAAAAGGCTCCCAGCCTACATCTTTCTGCCATGCTGGACTCTTCCTGCCCTCGAACATTGGACTCTGAGTTCTTCAGTTTTGAGACTCGGACTGGCTTTCCTTGCTTCTCAAACTGATAGACGGCCTATTGTGGGAACTTGTGGTCTTTTAAGTTAAAACTTAGTAAAGTCCCCTTTATATATATGTACTCCACAATGGAGGTAAGGAAGAATATGCATGGAATACAGGAGATCCATTAGGGGGCCTGTAATCTCAGGATATATATATCCTATTAGTTCTGTCCCTCTAGGGAACCTTGACTAATACACCAATCAACTGTGAGATCTCTCAAAGTCAACTTCCAAGTCTTTTGTGTACATCTTTAATTGAAGTAATAGGAAGAAAGAATCAAATTCTGAAAGCAAAGTCAGTGTCTTATGTTCTAAAAAGACAACTGCTGTGATGTGACCTAAACATTTTATATGAAGGATACAGATTTATATATAATATATATTTAATATTACATGCACACACACACATAAGCATTTGGATATATTTCTGTGACACTGTTCAAAACTCTTTTCATTGAAGTCATAAGCAAATATTTATATATTTACATATTCAAAAAAGAGGGCATTTAGACATCTAACTGGCAAACTAAAATATAACAAAGACAGCAAACAAGTTATTTTGTACGTGAGTACTGTTCAGTGTGTTAATGGAAATGTATGCTTCAGAGCAATCTTAGCCTTTTGTAAAATATGTCTCAATCTAGGTTAAACTGAAATTTCTCATCTCCAAGTCTAGAAATAATGCAAAGGGTAAGAAGTTTGCTCTTCAAGCAGCGTCATATTATAATGTGATTAAAACTTGTAAATTATCAGGTTGAGGTCATTTTGTTGTCGTTTAATGACTGATCTTGGAAACAGACTCACTTTCAGAAGGATCTTCAAGGTCACAGATGGTTTGCCTGAAATGGACCAGGCCTAAAAGTGCTTCTGTATTCTTCCTTCCTTTCCTTCCTCAATGCAGGAAAAATGTAGACAGCAAATAGCAAACTGAGGCCAGATACGGTGGCTCATGCCTGTAATCCCAGCACTTTGAAAGGCCTAGGCAGGTGGATCATGAGGTCAGGAGTTCGAGACCACCATGGCCAAGATGGTGAAACCCCATCTCTACTAAAAACACAAAAATTAGCCAGGCACAGTGGCAGCACCTGTAATCCCAGCTATTTGGGAGGCTGAGGCAGGAGAATCGCTTGAACCCGGGAGGCAGAGGTTGCAGTGAGCCAAGATCCCGCCAACTACACTCTAGTCTGGGCAACAGAGTAAGACTCTGTCTATACATATATATGTATATATATACATATATATATGTAGCAAACTGGGCAGGCAGTCAGCTAGACCACGCACATGGAGCTGTACCAAAGTGTTCCCCAGCCTAACTTGACCAATACATTCCATAAATGTCTAAGATTTTCTCATACTCAAGGTAAGACTTCAAAATGTATAGCAGGTCTAACTTTACATGCTCAGAAAATGAAACTTTGTCTTCTATAACAAATAGTGATAGACCAAAAAAACTCACCAATACAAGGGAGCAATTTATCAGGTGTAAAAAGTCTGTCAAATAAATGTTCAGTCAATTTAAGTGCAGATTCATTATCCGGGTACTTCTCTCTTAAGCAACTTTCTCTCTGCTCCCTGCCCCTCTCCTCCTATTAAACCCTAGCCCACAGGGGGTAGGATTTCCTAATTACTTATCTTTTTCTGTTTCTTCTGCTTCCTACTGCTCTTGAAGTGTTTCTTTGAAATCAGCATTTCAAACTTTGGGCTGAGCAGCTGAAAAGTGTTTCAAATGATCACATTGTGCCATCTGGTGGAAATACAGCCTTTTCCAGGCAGGGGCAAGTAAGATAGTTCCTCTGGGTCTTAAATTCCTGGCTTAACCACAAGGAGAGTCTGATAAAATTTACAAAACCGAAGCCAGCTGAGGCCTACCTCCCTCACCTCAGTTCTATCAGTTCAGTATTTTTTCCAAATGAAATCTTTCCATTTGCCCTGTAATCTTTCTAAAAAAAAAGGACCAGTCAGGCACAGTACCTCACTCCTGTAATCCCAGCACTTTGGAAGGCCAAGGCAGGCCGATCATCTGAGGTTGGGCGTTCGAGAGCAGCCTGACCAACATGGAGAAACCCCATATCTACTAAAAATACAAAATTAGCAAGGTGTGGTAGTGCATGCCTGTGATCCCAGCTACTAGGGAGGCTGAGGCAGGAGAATCACTTGAACCCGGGGCGTGCAGTTTGTGGTGAGCTGAGATCATACCATTGTCCTCCAGCCTGGGCAACAAGAGCAAAACTCCATCAAAAAAAAAAAAACTCTAACCAACTTATATTCTGTCTCATGAACATGTGGAAAATGCATGTACTGTCCTTAAATCTATCTTTTTTTTCTAAATAAATTGGTGTTTTAACTGAAAAAAAAAAAAAAACAAGCCCATCACAGCTACTTGAGAGGCCAAGGCAGGAGGATCTCTTGAGCCCAGGCGCTCAAGGCTGCAGTGCGCCATGATGACATCTCCAAAGAGCCACTGAGCTCTAACCGGCAACACAATGAAAGCAATTTTGTGTAGTCATTCATAAATGGCATTTTCTTTTGAAATAGTATTGGAAACGGCTACATGCATGGACTGGTTTTTTTTTTTTTTTTTTTGAGACAGAGTCTTGCTCTGTCGCCCAGGCTAGAGTAAAGTGACACAATCTTCACTCACTGCAGCCTCCCCTTCCCCTGGATTCAAGCGATTCTCCTGACTCAGCCTCCTGAGTTGCAGGGATTACAGATACGCCGTCACACCTGGCTAGTTTTTATATTTTTAGCATAGATGGGGTTTCACCATGTTGGTCAGGCTGGTATCGAACTCCTGACCTCGTGATCCACGCACGTCAGCCTCCCAAAGTGCTGGGATTACAGGTGGGAGCCACCGCACTTGGCCAGGACTGCCTAATGTTTTCATCAGCTTTTAGAGGATACTAATCTCATAGACTTTCACTGACATAAAGTCTATTTCTTATTTCACATTATTTCTGAATTTATCGATGAATAATGCACACTGTGTTGCCATTTGAGAATGGACTTGAAGATTTATATACCTTACTAGTCATATTTGCCATGCTAAGTTGAGGCATTGCTGGAGTGGTTTTATTTAATACTGTTTTTCCTTTGCCTCTTTTCCTCATCTCAGATTAGAATCCCCTACCCGGAGTCTAAGTATGGATGCCCCACGGGGGGTGCGTATTCAAGCTCCCGCTGGGAAAATCGAGGCGCTTTCTCAAATGGATATTGTTTTTCATAGTAGTGATGGAATGGTGAGTTCACAGATCAGCCTTCTACTGTATGTCCTGATGCTATCCCTGAGTATCATGTCTGTAAAGCTATCAGTGTTAAATTTCTGTTCGTTTGTAGGAAGACATTATGAAGGTCATAGAGTAGCAAAACAAGGCAAGCAAAAGACAATTTAGCTTTGAAAGAAGGGCCAAGAAAGGCTAAAATTATTCTGTACTAGATCCACACAACTTTCTTTGACTGACATTTGTGCTATCAAGTGACTTGTTGTTTTCAAGTTGGAAAAAACACACTACAGGCATTCAGAATTTACAGAGAATGTTCATTTTGCCATTTCCTAGGGATCCAGCTTCTTTGGGGATGGCTGTCCCTAGGAGTCACCCACCAACAACTACTGTCACCTTTCATTGCCCAGAGTGCTGCGCTTAAGCTGCATTTCCAGTTTAAATGAAAATGAAAGATGAAAAATAAGTGTTTTTTCAAAGTCAACTACAATAAAGATAAAACCTGGGACTTCAAGCCTAGAAATAGTTGCCCCCCTTTATGGACAGGGGATATGTTCCAAGTCCCCTAGTGGAAGCCTAAAAACACAGTACTGAACCCTGCATACACTGTGTGTTCCTGGGCATACATACTATGCTGAAGTTTAACTTAGAAATCAGGCTCAGTAAGATATTAAGAACAATGATTGGCCAGGCACAGTGGCTCAGGCCTGAAATCCCAGCACTTTGGGGGGCCGAGGCAGGCAGATCATCTGAGGTCAAGTTTGAGACCAGCCTGGCCGACATGGAGAAACCCCATCTCTACTAAAAATACAAAAAAAAAAAAAAAAACCAGCTGGGCATGGTGGCACCTGCCTATAATCCCAGCTACTCAGGAGGCTGAGGCAGGAGAATCACTTGAACCCGGGAGGCGGAGGTTGTGGTGAGCTGAGGTCATCTCATTGCACTCCAGCCTGGGCAACAAGAGCAAAACTCCGTCTCAAAAAAAAATGGAGTGATTATAACAATGTGCAAGCATCACTGCTCTTGTGCTTTGGAGCCATTTTTAAGTAAAATAATGGTGACTTGAACACAAGCACCACAATAACTTAGCAGTGGATCTCACCGTGGAGACTGCTCCTCAGTGATTCACAGGCTGGGAGCGTGACAGCGTGGAGATGCTAGACACAGGGATGATTCATGTCCTGGGCAGGACAGCTCAAGATTCCATCATGCTAATCAGAAAGGTGTGCAATTTAAAATGTTTAAATTATTTCTGGAATTTTCCATTTAATATTATCCAGAGCAAGGTTGACAGCAGATAACTAAAACCAAGGAAAGTGAAACAGCAGACAGCAGGGGAGGAGCTACTAAAACCTCACTGACACAGCCAACGTCACAATGAGGCTTAGGGTACACACTGCTCAATACCGATAACAGAACCTTGTTTGTTAGAAAAAAAAAAGGGAAAAGCTCAATTTCAGTCAGCCAGAAAAACCGACATGGTTCGGATGTTCCTAAAAGGTCTAGAAGAAAATCAAGGTTTGGCTTATAAGCTCATTCCAATCGTATGATGCCATATTTATAGATTTGTACAAATAACTGATGTCATCTTCTGGGCCTAACCCCAGATATTTTTATATGTATGAATGTGCTCAAAATAAGCCACTGCTGCATGATTTCTCCTGTACGTAGCTCCGTCTTACCAACAGTGAGTGCAGTGAGTGGGGCAGGTTGTGTTCATTTATGCCACCATTGCCTGGCTGTCATGCCAGACCCTGTTGACTCGAATAAGGATGGTACCGTGTCCAAGAGGTGGAAGAAGAGACCCAGAGCCATGGAACAGACCTAGGGTTTATTGAGGACTTATAGGCAGGGCGGTCCAGTAGCAGCGAGCTGGACTGGAAAGCTGCCCCCGTTCATAAAAGCATGCAGGTTATACAACACTTCCGCTTAGCAGTAACTTCCATTTAGCCCAAAACAAAGGACCTCAATCTGCCATCTGGCCTGTGTTCAAAGGGATGGGCCAGGTGCTCCGATGTCCTTCACAGATGTGGACTAAATCTCTGGGTTGGCCCCTCCTAGACTCTTTAGCTCAGAACTCTGAACACACACATTCTTCTTAGACCACAGAGTCATTCTCAGGGAGTGCCTGAGTTATTGCTGTCAAGTGCGTCTCCGTACACCAGATGACCGTGCTGGGAAAAATGTCCCTGGATGCTGTTAGTACAATGAGAGGGCACATGGGTTTCCAGGCTCCTCCCCAGCCCTGGCCAGATCATTGCACCTGTGGCAAGGCACAGATCCCCTACACACGAAATGTGGAGCAGTGGGCAGAGGATTCAGCTGGAAGTCAGGAAGCCCAAGTCCTAGTGCTAGATCAATTCCCTCATAACCTGTTTGAATTGAGGAATCTTATCTGACCCTCTCTGGGCCTTTCTCCTTATTGTCAAATAGGAAACATGATATTTGCTTAATTATGTCACAGGGTTTTGAGACACTACTGTAGGAATATGGGTGCCAACATTTTGCAACTGCATTGCTATGATACTAACAGGAAGGTGTAGTAAAGGAGTAGGTGGATATGGTGCCATCATGGAGTCGGCCGTGAGAGCAGCCCCAGAGTGTGTGGGCAGGGCCCACCAGATGACAGCCTGCTAGTGGAACACACGTCTTCAGGGGAAGCCACTGCTTCCCCTGAAGTCATAACCTATGAAGTTACGATGTCAGGAGCAGATAAATGCAGAAATAAAAATCAAGTGTGTTGGAATCGCATTATGAAATCATGTTACTATACACTTAAAAATGTGTTACCTTCACAAATTTAAACTTACCTTACTTTTGAAATAGTACTTATTTCCATGAAGTAGGAGTCATTTTTACAAGTAGCACATAGCCAGACCCATAATTAAAATGAATATTCCTAATACGAGGAGCTAGTTCAAAGGATTGAAGAGATTTCAACTTCTCAACAAACATTGTCCCATAAAGGCAAAAAAAAAAAAAAAAAAAAAAAGATGAGCTTTGGAGGCAGTGTGTGGACTGCTCCAGCTAGAGTTTGCTGGAGGAGTAGGGGAAAAAAATGACAACTAGAAAAAAATTGACCAATTAACCACAAGAAAGGAGACAGAAGCCAACAAGTTGAAAGTGTGTTAGTGAAAAGCAAGTGCCCAAAGAACCTGAGTTGTTGGATAATAACCTAAAGAGATTCTACTTGAAAAACATACTAACACCTATTTGACTGTTTTGACCCTGACTGCACCAGACCACGCAGGGAGCAGAGCTGCCCGAGATGCTGTGGGGCCGTGCGATGAAGCCTCACCTGCCAGGGTCCACACCAGGGAATGCGTGCAGCAGACAGCAAGTTGTTAATAGATTGAAAGGCAAGGATAACAGCCACATAAACTAAAGCAAGGAGCTCGCCTCGTTGGCAAGGACAGGATTATGCCTACCCACATTCAGTTTAATTCCTTGGAACAAGTGAGTGTCCTGGAGTGGGCAGCCTTTGGCTGCTGGATGTGACAATTCTTATTTCTTTATCAAAAAGATTTCAATGGCTCTTTGTTTGCATTTCAGTTTAACTAAATTATCATATGACCAGAAAATCCAGTAGCTTTCATTTCTTTTTAATTGGCTTAGTCTATCTGTCTACTGCTTTTCTGCATCTAAAAGGAGGTAGTGCAGTTTCAAATAGTATTTAAAAGTTAGGGAAATGGCTGCCAGCTAATAGGATGAATTTAATTGCCTCTCATAGGAAAATCAAATCAGGATACATTTCATCATTCACAGGTAAAGATTATTAAGATGAATCTATTTCAGTGGATTGTACTTTATCCTAATGGGGATGAGAGGATTTTACATAGTCAAAGTGAGTCACAAGATAAATGTAAATTGGTAGAATTCTAATGTTTTTGACAAATAATTTTGAAAGGGGTTTTTAGAAGTAGCATCTCAAAACTAAAAAGTAATCCAGTTTATTGAAAACAAAAACTGTAAAGGTGAAACGTTTTCAAAATCGGGTCACATTTCTCAGCTAGACTGAAAGGAACTGTGAAGTCCCAGCCCGCATGTAAAATAGAACAAGGCTTTAAAAGAATCAGATAATTGAAATGACTTACATAAAGTCTCGTGCCTATTTCGTTTTCTGTGAGAAGAAACTAATTGGAAACCTTGTGAGAATGGGGATTTGCTGTTGACCAGGATGGCCCTCCCTTAATGCCTGTCATCTTCTCCCAACCAGCTTGTGCTTGATGCTGAAACTGTGTGCTTACCCAAGCTGGTGCAGGGGACGTGGGGTCCCTCTGGCAGCTCGCAGAGACTCTACGAAATCTGTGTGTGTCCAGATGGGAAGCTGTACCTGTCTGTGGCTGGTGTGGGCACCACGTGCCAAGAGAACAGCCACATCTGCCTTTGAGCCGCCTGTGTCCTCTCAGTGAGCTGTGTAGTGCTGGCCCCAGATCCTCACACCCGGGGAGCAGCTGGACATCGTGAAAGACTGAGGCAGTGTGGATGGGAAGTAAATGCTTCCAGAGGAACTCAAGAAAAAAAATGCGCCAATGAAAGTGTTTGGACAAAACTACATGCTCTCAAAATGCACATGGATGTGAGACACAAAAGTTGAAGAAATGTAAAAGCAATGTGTTTTTCCACTGGATTAATTTTCACCAAAACAATTGCGACTTCTCTCTGCCTCACCTCCCCTCATCTTGTCCGTGTGGGCACACAGGCAGTGTAGAGTTGCTGTGTGGGGCTCGTGTATGATGCTCTACTATGGATATCTAATGCCCCATGAGAGTAGCCTTGGTCAATACTAAAATGCCCAAAGTTCTATACAGCGTTTCATTTATAGCACTCAAACTTAACATCCTCCCTTCTATTTAATGCAAATATGTCAGGTTTCACAAGAACACTTTCATGTTTTGAAGGAAATTTGAGGTTGATCTGATTTTCAAGATGTAGTCAAAGGAATAAATTACACAAAATTAGACTTTCTGTATATAGTCAATATGCAATAAAAATCAACCTCATTTTTCAGACTTCACAGTTTTTTGGTTTTTTTGAATGGAGTCTGACTCTGTTGCCCAGGATGGAGCGCAGTGGTGTGATCTCGGCTCACCATAACCTCCGCCTCCCGCATTCAAGTGATTCTGCCTCAGCCTCCCAAGTAGCTGATACTACTGGCACGAGCCACCACGCCCGGCTAATTTTTGTATTTTTAGTCAAGACAGGGCTTCACTATGTTGGTCAGGCTGGTCTTGAACTCCTGACCTAGTGATCTGCCTGCCTCAGCCTCCCAAAGTGCTGGGATTACAGGCATGAGACACTGCGCCAGGCCCCAGACTTCACAGTTGAAGAATGTCTTACTTTTTTCATCTTCACACATCTCTAAGGTACGTATTATTTTTCCCCAAGTTACTGGTGACAAAGGCTCAAGTAGAACAAGTCACAAGGCCACATGGTCACTACTGAAATTAAACCAAAATATAACCCTAAATTTGCATAGCTCTTTTCACTTTTCAAGTTTCATGTGTTATCCGTGTCCAAAACACCTGTCTGTGTGATAATTGTACAGATGGAATAATACTTATTTGACAAAGAAACTGAAGCCCAAAGAGGTTTTGTCTCTACCGAGATCAAAGGGCTAGTCTGTGGTGCTTTCCTCTACACGAGACAAAAGTCTGGATGTAACTTCATAGAAATAAGACACTCAGCTTGTGAAAATATTTAGTGCCAATTGGCTGTATAAGTTGCTATCAAATAGGACACAGTGACCTCTGAAGACAGGTTCGTTTTGTATAGACCACCCACTACTTTGTAAAATGCCCTCCACCACAAAAAGTGGTGGGGTGTGTTTTTACTTATTATAAAAAGAATCTCCAAACAGGTGTATCACTGCAACTTTCTAATGACATGACATATTAATAACTATAAATACAAGTTCAAATTCATTTCCATAGTCTCAGAATCAAGAGAAAGTACAAAAGTGAGCTCTTTATTCCTAATGCTAAGATGTTAACAGCATAGACTTATAACAACTCTCTGATGTTTAAATTGCTAGAATGCATAAACACTTGAAATTTCAAAGTAAAAATACTGTGCTTTCCAAGCAGTTAAGAGCAAACTCAACTGAGTGTATCGTTCCTCCAATTTCACAGGCGGTTGGGTGTTTTTACTTATAAATAGGCATTTACCTTTTCCATTTAGTTAAGTTCTGAGTAAACTGTCTTCTTACTGTGACATTCCTATTGTCCTAGTAAATGGTTCCTGGTATTTTGTTCCATTTGTGCAAAACATGTCTTCAAGCCCAGTTGATAAAACACAAGATCACTAAACATTTATAAACTAGCTTGGTTCTCATAATATATGTCCAAAATACAGTGCGTAGATGATAAAGTGAGGTAAATAAAAGTAGTCAATTAGAAAGTGTGGAGAACAGAACCTTTTATTCTATTTTTTTTTATCTTTAGCTATATGGAATAATGTTGAAAGAAGTTGTTATTGATAAATGCATTCTCCAGAATAAGAAATTTATCCTTCATTAGAATCAAAGCTTTAGATGAGTTATATTCTAAAATGGATTACATAAATGTCTTCTTAAACATATTATATAATGTAATTTAAATTTTTATTGAAGGCATCAGGTCATGATTATAAACATACGTAACAGGGTATTTAGACTGATACTCCTATTGTACTATGTGATTATAGACTATTGAGTGTTGCTATATTAGGGATCTAAAAACAGCACTTATTTCTTTCCCAATTTATAAACTGAGTAGATACAGTAAAAAAGATGAAGATAAAATCTACTACCATCATGCTGTAATAATAAAGATAGCTGGTTTGCAGCAAAATGGACTTCCTAATACTTCACAGCTGAATAAAACACAAACCACTCTGGTCACAGGCAAAACTAAAGGTTCCCAACTTCTGTAGCCACTCATGAGGAGGACGAACATAGGCCTTCTCTGAGGGCAGCCAAATTCACATTAAAAGAGTCAAGCCATGTGTGTTGGGTTCCCCCGCCAACCCCACCAGGTCACCCAATAGGTAAAGTCTTTGCTCCTATGGAAAACAGGGAATGAGGGTAGAAGGTCTTCTGAAAGGGCAGAATCCTAATGGTTTTCAGGTTGTGTCTGCTTATGTAGCTTTGTGAACCCTTCTTTGATTTGAAACATCACCTCTCACTTGGCTTTAGCAGTTTTCTTCACATACTAAATTCCACTTCAAATATGTTTCTATAATTGCTATTTTCTACCAGCACTATAAATGTCATCCTTGAGATCTACAAAACATTTAAACTACCAAAAATGTCAACTGGAACTAATGAAACAAGTAAATCCCATTCATCCCAAAATCAGACCTGTGAACAACTCCTCTTCATTTTGTTAAATACTATTTTAAGATTTTGCCCAAATCATTTTTGAGCTCTCAGCACTCCGGGCTCTGTTAACTAATTGTATGGTGCAAGTTTTTCACTTGTTTCCTCACAGAGACTATGAACAATTGAGCCATCCTGCTGGGGACGCCCTGTCCCTGGAGCCTCTGCAGCAGAGAGCCTGCTCCCGAGTACAGATGCTGCTCCATGCCTTTCCTAGACTGCATGCTACTCTACTCAGGAGCAGCTGATCCACGCGCCAGTAAACAGCTTCCATTGTCTTTTTAAAAGAAAAGTAAACTATGGTAAAGGTGGGGGAAGCATAGAATAGCAAAATAGTTCAGGTCCAAAATTCCTTAACTTCAATTTCAAAATCTAAAATGCTTCAAAAAGTGAAAATTTTCATATGAGTCTGCTATAAACTATTGGTGGCAAAGCTGACTCGAATTACGTAAGGCTACTTCTCAGGTCTATGTATTCAATTTAGTGTGAACCCTCATAGACTTCACTGCAGAAATACTAATGCGTTTGATTACAGGTACAGCCTGACCGTGGTGGGAGCACTTCATTAAAAAGTTATATATACTTGTATTAACTTTCTAAAATAAAATTATGAGACACATTAAGGGTTTCATATATGGGATTATGAACCTGTGTGGGTCTTTTTTAAGCCTGGAAAAATCACAAAACTCCAACTAGAGCAACTATCATCAAGGCCAAATGAGGTTTTCTGTGTAAATTTTAATATTCAAAAGCAATAAAATCTAAGTGCAGAATTGGAGCTTTGAGGCAGCAAGTACTTTAAATAAAGCTGAAGATGCAGAATTCAGGTAGCTCCAGAACAGAGAGCACTCTTAGCCCTCATCTGCCTAACTTTGAAGACTTGTGCCTCAACTATAAAGATGAAGAACTCATATCTGTCAGTACTAAAGCGTGAATTAGTCCCAGCTATGCAGCTGTCCACTGAGGCAAGGAGAATATCAAGTCAGCCTCTACCTACAGGAAAAAAAAATATTTAATGTATCTGTTTCCAAACACATATAGGCCATATATATCAACTAATCTGATTCTCTAAAAAGGTGACATAAACTCAACTAAATCAATGAGCACCTAAATCTACTATATAACAAGCACTTTATATTCTATTAATCCTAGAAAATAAATCTGCTAAAATTCCAGCATGAAAATATACAAGAAAATATTTTCCTAATATTTCCAATAAACACACACATTGAAACTTAATATTAAGATGTTAAGTTTGATTTCCAGTGAACTGTTTCTCAGGAAATACCCATTATGATGATTTCATCTGTACATTTTGCTTTATTAAAAGTATGGCACTTAATATAACAGCAGAAATAATTACATGATTCACATCCAGAAGCAATACAATGTGGAGGTGCAAACATTCCTATTACCAATAAAAGTAAAAAATGTTTTAACATTTTCTGTAAGCCCTTAATTGCATAAAATATATTTAGCATCATTTACAGCCAGTACACTCCCATAAACTAATTTTCATTACCTTTCTTTTACATTCTGCAAAAAAATATGTTAAGGTAAACATATTTTATGTATGGTGAGACAAACATGAATCAAATGTCAGTTCTAATCATTCATGGGGACATATAAGCTGCTAATTATAAACCAGTAGATGATTTTTAACAATTTTTAGTTTTTAAAGTGAAAAAAAACTCCACTAAGTGCCATATTGAAAGAAGTTTTTAACGGCAGCACCTTTAGACAACAAAAGATTGCATCCTGTTCAACCACACTATATAAATTATGACATTTGTGGAAAATATGTACACACAAACATAAAGCAAGTGTTCTAACAGTTAATAAATGTTGTCCTGGAAAGCAGTTTACAGAAACAATACTAACACCTGGTAATAAGAACTGCCACCATTTTGAGTTTTCCATTGCTATCTTCATGAAACAGGAAGCCTGTAAACATAAGATGTTAAAAAAACTTAAATAAAGATGTAAAGTGCACTCAGTGCACTCTAAAAAGTACTACCTTCACACTCTTAATCAAGTAATAGGATCAAAATACTGTACCATTTTTTAGATGCGCTGAGTATGACATAAAATTGCAACAAATTCATAATCAGAGCCAGCTGATAAGAAAATAATGCATCCAAGAGGATCTACTTAAAAAAATGACAAACTACAAAGACTTAATTCCCCTTACATGTTTAAACCAATGATATATCCAGTGTTTCATTAGCTCCTTCAAAAATACCATGTTAAAAACATAAAATTATTTCATCTTAACCAGAGACATACATAGACTCTTATCTAACAAACTGCTAAGCTTTGGTTATATAAAGTGCAGTTCAATAATGTGCCATCCCAATCATTCAAATCTATCTAGCTATTCTGCAACTCACCACCATCTTCAAAATAGTTTTAGATTCAGTTAAGGTTTTCTGTTGGTACTCATGTTAACAACTCATTGCAGAATCCTCCCAAAACAATCTGCAATGTGCTTCACAATTCCTAGCTAACTGGCAATGAAGCTTAATGAAGTACAGCAATTTATATTTGTGCTACAACACATTCAAGATCTACCTCTTTTTTTTTTCTTTAAATACCTTCACGCTTTTTGTTGTATAAAATTTTCAAGTTTTATTATGATACAGGCAGTACATTCCATCACCCTCATAGCAACCTCAGAAGTGAACCTGTCATTTGGAATCTGAGGAAAAGGAAGCAAATCAGGATACCTTGTTTTTAAACTGTCTACACCATAAGCTTCCAATGTGTGAACATCATTTGTCAGTCCTTCAAGTTGCTGACTATATTCCTCTATTTTCTGAGCAAGTGCAGTTGGTTTTACATCTTTATCAGACTTTCCCCTCACAGCATAGTCAGCTGCAATCAAAGCTAACTTGGTAGAAAGGTAGCATTTAAAGCACACCCACTCATTGGCATTTTTATGAAGGTCATTCCTGGCAGCTGAGAAGTTTGCTCTGGCTTGTCTTAGCCATCTGCGTGCTTCCACTGGATTGCCAACCGACTTGAAAGTGGGAGGAACAAAGAATCTTTGAGAGTAAGTCTGTCCAGCTGAAGGCGGGCATTTTTCTTTGTTTTGCTGCTGTCTTTCAGATTTATGGCTCGTTGCTTCTTGATTCCATGAAGTATAGAATCTCTGAAATGAGTACTTGTCTGACTGAAATCGGGATGCTGAGGTTGAAAACGTTCGTCTAGAGGCCCTGTCTGCATTTTGATCTAGAAAAGCCTGTTTTTCTAATCTGTTGATTTCATTCTGCAAATGTTTAAAAACTTCATTGGCAATGTCATGGTTCTCTGGATTTTTGTCAGGATGCCATTTCAAATACAACCGCCTAATAATCTTTTTTCGTTCTGATTCTGGAAGCTTCCATGCTTGCTCCACCACAGAAGTCACTTCTTTTAAGACTTCTGGTAAAGAATTAACCTTAAGCTTTTTGGGGGACTGATGTTTTGAAGAAGTTTTGTGGCTCTCTCTGCCAGAAAAAAGAGGAGGAATACTTCGCAGACCAGGGGCAAGGAACTCAGTAGGGCTGGTTGGTGTAGAAGGAGCACTGTCTCTGCTTTGAGAGCTTTCGTCAGGTCTTGAAAACTTATACAGATCAAGAGAGCTAACTATTTTATATTCACTATAACCAATATCAATCTGATATATCTTTCCTAGAAAACTAGAATTGTCAGCATCTTCTCTTTCAACTTCTTGTACGATAATTGCGTATGTGTATGTTGGCTGGTATGATCCATAGATATCACCACCTTCAGCATCAACAAGGTACCCAACGTATTCTCCCGGGTAGAAAACATTCATTGGGTCCATAAGAAGAGTGTAATGAATTTCAGCAGGAATTGGTGTACCAGGCATTGGAAGTTCCAGCTTTGAGGGCTCTGAAGAGTCATATTTCACTCCTAAACTGTCAAGTTTCTCACCGATCCTGTAAATATCATTGCATCCTAGCATAGCAATTAAATATGAAGTATCAGAAATCAAATTGTCAGTTGCTGATTTAAGAGTCATTGCCAGTGCTAACAGGAAATTAATATCTTTACTGTCTGAATGTTGAATGTAGAGCAGGATGACTGCATTCCCAAATCGTTTCAAAAAAGCAAAAGTTTCACTTCTACTGTGGGGAATTGGATTAAATCCTTTCACTCTTAATGTTGTTTGAAGCTTTTCGAAACAGGACACTTTCAATCCCTCTCTTAAAGCTTTGCAAAGTCTTATGGCTTTTTCTTCATTGGCCAGAAAAGCATTATCATTTTCATGCTTCATAATTCTAATTAGTCCTGTAATGAACTGTTCAGAAGACAAGAGTAACTGCAATCTTCCTTGAAGAGAACACAATGCTCCAAACTGACAAACTTTGGGAGTCTCTTCGTCTAACTGTTCTTCAAGTATACTGCTCAATAATCGAGGTCTAAGTTTTTGAGGAAAGAGCATTATCAATTTAGTATGAAATCCATGGTCTTTCCCTAAGTAGCATTGGCTGAGATCAACCAACATTTGCACACCAATATTCCCCTGGATTCTACTTTTATAATGTGGTGCATCATCAAACACTAAGATGCTTGACTTTACCAATCTACCATCTTGGCTTGGGAGGTAAAGTGCAAGATCTCGTACATTCTCCAGATCACCCCTCACCTTGACTGAATCATTCTGTAGACTCTTGAATAGACCAGAAACTACTCGCTTAACTGTACGCATTTCATTAGGATCTAATTGTTTACCTTCAGAATTTTTAAATATACGGCTCAACACTTCAACATACTGTTTAGTTGAAATAATATCTTCAGTACCTAAGTGTTTGAACAACTGGTGAAATGTGCCAAGTTCTAAAGGTAGCTTGTACAAATAAGGTTTAAAATCAGATTCATATTCTAGATTTATCACTACCTCCTCAGGCTTCAGAAGTTTCCAACCATCTTCTACCATCACAAAAGCAACCCCTCGCAATTGAAAACGAAATTCTCTTTTTTCTGCACTAAGGAATTCATATATGCTCCTTAAAACTTTTGCTCTAGTTTTTACCATTTCTTCATCCAAAGTTGTTATGTTGCATATGTTTCTGCAGTTATTGATGACCTTATCAAGAGGAGGATCCAGGTTAACATTAAGCATATTTAAAACTTGTTCAAGCTGTTCTTGTGGACCAAGATCACTACCTTCCTGTTCTTTGATGCTCAAGGGTGTAGCTTTCTCTGGAAGAATAGGGCAGGATGTCCATAACAGCTGAAGTACATCACATTGCTTGAATTTTGGATTTACCTGTGCTCCATTGAACTTTATAAGAGGAAGTGTTCCATTTACCTCTTGATATTGAGGATGAAATCTAATGAATTCTGCGGGGGCCCGCTCAGGACATAAGAATGGTATTAAAGACAGTTCTTTCAGAAAATTCCCAGATAACAAATCCATTCGTTCTTGGAATATATGATGGAGAAGGATATCAACTGTATTTTGCAAAGTTTCTTTGGACCAATTTTCTGTATTAGCCCTCACACTGATTTCCTTAGCAAATTGTAACAACTGCTGCTGAGAAAGTATATATTTTAATCCAATATTTCTTAAGAATTCCACCCAGGATGTCATAAATGTAACATGATTTTTGGGTTTTATAAGTTGTTCCAATTTCTT